TAGAGAATTCTCGACAGGAGTGGCAGTGCCCACAAAAGTGGGCAGAAGGTCAACTGCACTGTTGAGAGTATTCAGAATAGGCCAAGACACCTGTCTTGGTAGAAACGGCAGTATGTCTCTGGGATGAAAGGGTTCTTTAAAGGCTTGTACTTTTGGATATGAAATGGCATGGATTGTGATTAATAACAGGATTAATTGATGGTTTTTGAAGAAAAGTGTCATGGCTAATGAAACTTTCCAGAGAGAGGAGATAGAGAGAGATTTTTACAGGAAGGGTTGACCTTTAGTGCAGATAGTTTCCATTTTGTGGTTGAGTTGTTATTTCTTAAGATATTTGTAATTTTTGTCAGTTTTTTGGCAAGCAGGAAGGCTATACCATTGCGATCCTATACCACAAACATTTTTTTGTTTTTGGATTCTTGTTACAAATTTTTTTCTGAATACTAAAGAATTTTTCATAATTAACAAATTGAGACAAGAAGAGTAGACTGAGTCCGGCAAGGGGCTTTTTCCAAAATAGCCGGGTATAATAGATCCATTTGGGTTTTTGTAGAAAAGTCTATTTTACCCTTAATGATATATAATTTATATATTGCAAGTATATCTTTCCTTTATGAATAGTTTTATCAATTGATATATCATATTTCTATATTTTCAATTCTAAAGATGGAACCACAATTCTTAACATGGTAATAGAGTCCATTAAATTTCAACGAGTAATTCGATAGGATTAAAACTCAAATAATGAGCATGTGGATTTTGATACGAGCTCATGTAGCAATTGAAATTACGAAATCCAGCTCATGTAGCAATTGAAATTACGAAATCCACGACAGATTAGATCTAATCCAAAAAAATGAAGAATCAATGTTGAAAAAGCTCGATCCAATAAATTATTTAACCAAAGAACCAAGACATTCGCCAATAATATCTTGACCTCGTGATCATAAACTTATGAACTTTACTTAAATTGTTGAACATCACAAAAATTTAATTATTTATAAGTGCGAAATTAATTCAATGAAGAACGAGTTGAAAGTAATATATCTCGAAATAATATCTCTCAAATTGTGCGTTTTTACAATAAAAAGAATAATCATTTTTATACGAAATCCATAAAACCTAGTTAAAAAGGGAATTACAATTAAAACATATCAAAAGATACCACAAAAGAGTTTTAACTAAAATAGAATTATAAACAAAATTTGAAAAGAAAAAAAAAATCACAGTTTGACACTATGCAGCCACATAGGTGTAGAGCATGCAGTTGCATAGACATTTCTTCAACCTTTAGTGTGGTTTTAGTATGGAGGCATGCGGCCAAATGTACTATGCGATCGTATAGCTTTCCCTTTCAGCTCCCTCGTCTGTTATTTAAACCAAGTTGATCCATCTTGTTCCCTCTTCCAAACCTAATATGAAATTTGCACTTTAACTTGTTGTGATAGATGTTTTATTCACTGTAGTTTGAACAAGTAATCACATGGCTTCTTTAACATTCATTACTCGTGACCTAGTCATTAATCATTCATCTACAATCAACGGGTCTTTGTTCTTGCTAGCTCCCGTTCCATGGTCCTCATCTTCCCTTTCTCTTCAAAAGAATTTGTCCTGGAATCTTCAAAAGAATTTGTCCTAGAATCTTCATCTGCTATCAAATAAGAAAATATCAGAAACATTGAAAGTAGCAAAAATGTTATACTCACCTGGAAGATCCAATTTACAGGCATTGTCGTTGATCTTTTCAAACACTTGAAACGATCCATCTTCTCTCGATTACAACTTTGATTTCCTTTAAGTCGGAAAGCGTTCATTTCTCATATACTCCCAAACCAAATCTCATATTTCAAATATAACGCGCTTTCATCATTTATTTACTTGAAAAACATAATGCTTATTTTTTTCTCAATCTGACATCGTACTTTATCATGGAGGGATCTTACCAACTCGACATTCTTCTTTCCATCTAAGCTACCTCTCTCATCAATAAATAAATGAATTAAATCCAAAGGTGTTAGTGGATTAAAATCATAAACAATTTCAAATGGAGTATAAAGAAGTAGTAGAATGAGTAACCATATTATGTCCATGTTTGAGCCACATTAAAATTTTATACTCATTTTAAACCACACATTTCAATAAAATAATATTTTTCATCACATCAATAACTTTTTTTTCTTTTTCAACCACACATTCTCCATCAATCTACTATTCCAAAATACATTCTTCCAAAATAATGTAGCTCAAACACACCCTATATGCAAATTCTATGAATGACAAGCAATTCTCCCAACTCTTCAAGTTCTTATATTGACTATAGTGCACAATAATTATATCATAGTCCTACTAACAACCTCAGTTTGTCCATCCATTCGTAGAGAATAATATAACTTACTCCACAAAACCTTCCAAAAAATGACTAAGGAACTTAACATATCTATCTGATACAAATGATGTGTCCTTAGCTTTCTTGAAAAGCCTTTGTTCGCAACTACTGCTGTTCTAACAATCTCATGTTCTTTCATTTCGATTCAATATGCTTCAAAGTTTGGTGGAAAAGAAAAGGAGTTTTTGCTTGTTGGTTCTATCTTATTCATTCACATAATTAAAAATTACAATATACATTACGATGTATCTCAATCAACAAAGAAAATAACACAGTATGAAACAAATCTAGAAGTCAAGAAAATCCTCTTTTTCAGATACACAAATATTACAATTGGAGTGTTAAGCTGGGATACATCCTGGATTTTTCTTTATGTTTCAACGAACAAGCTATTGCAAGTAATGTCCCTTTGAGTGCGTAAATCCACTCGTTTAATTTTTCTTTCAGAAAATACTCTCTTTCAATTTGCTTTGTTCAGCTGTTCATGTTCACGACTTCAAAATTATCTTCAAGAGAATTCACTACAGAAGTTCTTCCACCGAAGTATATGATTGTCCTCTGAAACCAAACTGATGTAGCAAAATATGTGAAATGATAATTGACAAGATCATTCGGCTCGTTAGTTCATGAGCGAATGAGATCCAGTTTTTAATATGATGACATCCAATTCCCGTAGATGGCTCGAGTTAATATCATCATACATGGTTGGCTAGGTGATGATAGATTTTTCTTTGGAATATACCACTGAGACAATTATGGAAACGCAAAAACTCCTAGTTTTGGAAATCAAATAAGATTGTTACAACTCCACAATGAAACGCCATGGACAATCGCAAGGCAACAAATGGCTAAAAGCTTGCATATTAAAGCTAAAATTTTTACTTTCATGGTGCTTCTTATAGTCCCCCTTTGCTCTGATCCTGCATTTCTTGGATTTGTGGGAGCATTCGCAGGATTTGTTTTGTTTAGCTGCAAATCCATGTATGGGCTCACTGTACAAAAAACAAGCTTCCACCCCTTGTTGTGGCGCTGCAACTTGCAAGAATAATTGTAACGCCCCAAAAATTCAAGCA